TGAGGAAGAAGCTTTCTCCTTCTGAGGTATGATTTTGGAAGTTTTCGCCATTGATATGAGAGGAAAGAATGAGAAGGAAGGTGAAAGGATGGACAACGCCAAAAACCCTGGTATGAGCGGCCCTGAAGCAGCGAAATAGAGAGGATAAATAAGAGAATTTGGAAGAAGAGAAGGCGCAAAAGTGGTATAGGTTGTATGGAAAGACTATTTATAGGCTAACGCATGACGATTCAGTATTAGCGGTGGCCGACTACCGTCTGACACGCATTAAAAGCCTTGGTAAAACCGAACCGATGGGACAATTATCACATACGTCATGATCGGGGTCGATAGAAACGTCGACATAAATTTGATCGAGCCGTAGAGAAATCATATCGTTTCTCACCACATCCTTTTCGAGAAATGAGGGGACTATCTGTGTACGGTCAAAATCGATTCTCGGTCATAAAGACTGGCCGAGACGATGACGTTTCGATCAAAGGGTATCCACATAACAAGCTAGGACGAATTCCGGAGTAAGGGCATCGAGTTTCGAGCTATAAGACCGATCGACGGCAAAACTCGGTATCATTATCGAGCTCATATCCGAATCGAACTACGAGGCAACTCCGACCGATACAGGCCCCGAATATCGATGCCCCAAGGCAGAACGGGCTCGAACCAAGACCGGGGGTTCGACCTAACGCCAAGCTCGAGCCAGTACCGAGCTCGCCGACAAAAGCCATTATAACCGCACCGAGGGAGAGAATCTTGGCAGGAATCAAGGAAGAGACAAACCATCATGGGTCCTCCACTATATGCATTATTTTATTATGTTGTTATAGATAAAGTAGTGACCCTCTATTATAAAAAGGGACATAGATTGCAATAGACTCATCTTCCCCAAGATATATTAAGAGTTCATATTGCTCATTGAGCTTTCCTATTGATTATTCCCATTTTATAGCAAAACACTTGTATTATCATTTTTGTATCATAAAAAATTTACGTATCCTTAGAACCACACATAAATTCAACATTTTTTGATTTTTCGGGTAAACAATATTAATATAAAGGAGTGCATTGAGGAAGGTGATGTGTAGGGATCCTATTTGAGTCTCATTATTATGTGAGTATTTTCTTTTCACATGATATCGGTATTTTATTTTCTTTCTCTCTACCAGTATGCATTTATATGCTATTCTTTGATGATCTATCTACTTCATTTTATTTTTTCTAACTATACTGCATACTTTTTAAACTTTTCTTTCTTCGTTAACTAACTCTTTTGAACTCCGATGGGCCGGGGATCCTTCTCTTACAAGGGAAACAGCCAGCAATGAAGAGTGGAGGGATGACTTTGCAATATTTCGATTGCCATTCTCTTGCCAGCTGATCTAATCTCTATGTCCAACACTTAGTAATTAGTACGGAGTATTACATTCTTGAAATAATACTAGGAAAAAAATTGCTTGAGTACCTTTCTAATTTTACTCTATTCTTAATGTTATTATAAGTAAGACAGTAAGTTATTTTGATTTATTATTATGCTTCTAAAACAAAGTACGTTTTACTGTACAATCACACCAAAGCATAAAAAATTAACTGAAAAATACGAACAGGGGATTTGGGTTGCCAGGATTGAAGATAAAGATAGGAAGGAATGAAATCGAGTATAGGGGTAAAAAAAGCCTTAAAGAATAGAATACATTTATTAATTGATTTTTTTTCTTTTTCTCCACCTCTTTTTAAAATTCTTTTTTTTTTGTTCTTTTTCCAATACTATTTTTTTTTGTTATTTGACATATACGAAAGATAGTGACCTTTTACAATATAGGCATGAACAACTCTTACTGAGAAAAAAACTTGGTGGAAGAAAAATTGTATTGATATCTCAGGTTTACACCCTCAGATTTTGACATTAACTTTTCTTTTCTCATTTCATTTGTTTATATTTCCTTTTTTTATTCTTTTTTTTTTCATTCTATTTTTCTTATTCAAGCTACTATATCTTATTAAAGTAGGGCTATTTCATGCATAAAGAACTTTATATAGGAGGTTAAAAATAGTCGTAAAGAGATATTTGATTAGCTGAACTTCATATTTTCTATGGGATATATAACACTAATATTCAATTAGTTTAATTTTATATTACAACCGCGCGATGTGCAGGCATATAGTATAAATCCAAGATAAGATTATAGTATTCTCTAACGGATCGTAGAAGCATGAACAATAACTCCTTATTGTAGGTTATAGTGCCATGACTTATAATTTCATGTCTGACGGATTGGTTGATTCTACACTTCTGACCATTGGTAATCAAATGCCTAACGATTTATTTGAATCATATTAGGGCGGATGACATGGGATTTGTTCATAGCATGTAATGATCTTCTGCCCATGATTTAGAGTTGTCATTACGAATAATGCAATTTATGTCGGCTAGCGCCATCCTATACGAACTTACTCACTATTACATTTCATCCCGTAATATATATATATAATACTCGGAGGGATGAAAATTGTAAAGTAGAGAATACTATTTTTACACCCTTCAACACGCTTGTGAATTGAACCATTATGCATTGTCCGTTTAATTAATGTGAATGAACACAGTCATAGCCCTTTCCTTAGTAGATGTTGCATATCAACACGCTTGTGACAGCCCAATTTCATGGATAATCTTCATTACTCGATCATCCAGTTTCGCCAAATAGACTCCAGACTTTTTGGCACGCACTCCTTTCGAGGGCCTATTTTTGGAATAGTTGGAATAAAAAAACAGAAGGCAAAAGTCTCGTTAATGGAAAAATTGGTCTGATAGAGGAGACCACGACCTCTTTCTCGTAAACTCGAGATTTGGAATAAAATCATTCAATACTTTATTTCTTCCAGTTACGTGACTTTATACATGAAGAGTTCCCAAAAGATTAGCAACTGACACAAACTAAAAGTTGCTGAACTATGGCAACTACCTCCTAAAATAAAGGAAATGGATATGCTCATTATCTACTTCTAAAATAAAGGAAATAGAGAACACAATTTGAATGACTTCTAATAACTAGGAAATGGTTAAATAAAATTACTGCACGTAACACTCCCTCTCCCTTAAAGAAAAGCACTTGTCCGCAAGGGCAAAAATCTGGAAACTGTTGGCAAATGTCATCAAGAGCCTCCCAAGTAGCCTCAGCTGGAGAACAACCCTTCCAATGCACTAAAACTTCTTTCTTTCCTCTTCGAGCTCTGCTGCCCAATATTGCCGAAGGAAAGGTAATTTCTGATCCTTCTACAGGTAGCTGTGAACACACGACTTCCTTGCTTCCCATGTACTTCTTGAGAAGAGATACATGAAATACAGGATGTATCTTAGATTCAGGAGGTAAATTCAGCTTATAAGCGACAACTCCTATACGCTGGACAACTTTATAAGGCCCGTAATATCTAGCTGAAAGCTTTTGCGTGTGGCGACTCATAGATTGCTGCCTATACGCCTGAAGCTTTAAGTATACCATATCCCCAACAGAAAATTCTCGCTCCTTGTGCTTGCCATCATAAATTAACTTCATACGGTTTTGTGTTGCAGTAATCTTCTTTCTAACATCGCGAACAATGGCATCTCTTTCGATGAGTTGGTCTTCCACTGCAGCTACTTTTGTTGTTCCAGGAACATAATTAAGAAGGACTGGAGGTTGTCTTCCATATACAACTTCAAATGGTGTTTTTTCAGTAGTAGAATGCACACTTGTATTGTAGCAAAATTCTGTCCAGGTAAGCCATTTACTCCATTGCTTAGGCTCAGAACTTGTGAAGCAACACGAGTACATCTCCAAGGTGCGGTTAACAACTTCAGTCTGCCCATCAGTTTGCGCATGATATGCCGAACTAAAGTTGAAGCTTGTCCCATTAAGACGAAACAACTCTTTCCAGAACAAGCTTCTAAAAGTGGGATCTCGATCACAGACAATTGAAAGAGGCATCCCGTGCAACTTAAAAATATTATCAAAGAAACATTGAGCCACACTCGCAGCAGTATAAGGATGAGAAATAGGAATGAAGTGAGCATACTTTGACAATCGATCCACAACCACAAAAATAGTGGTTTTACCGTTGGAACTTGGTAGCCCCTCAATGAAGTCCATGGATATATCTTCCCAGACTTGAGCAGAGATAGGAAGAGGTTGTAGGAGTCCAGCTGGTAGAGTTTGTTCCACTTTGTAGCGTTGGCACACATCACAAGTTCGGATAAAATTCTGAATTTTGTCCCTTAGGCCTTGAAAGTAAAAATTGAATCTTACCCGTTGAATGGTCTTGTGAAAGCCTTCATGAGTGCTACTATGGAATTGCTCAATGATGAGGTCCACCAATTCAGAATCCTTGTCCAAATATATCTTATTTTTGAAGTAAAGAATTCCATCTTGGACTTTCCATGGTCCCAAAGCTTCCCCTTCTTCAACTCTCTTGATCAACTCTTGAGTTCTGGGATTGCTTGCATTTTCAGTTCTAATGGACTCCAACCAATTATGAATTGGGAGTGAAAAAGTCATGAGTTTTCCAGATTCTCCCACGCTTTCTGTTCTCCTTGAGAGGGCATCAGCAACTATATTTTCTTTTCCCTTCCTGTATTCCACAGTAAAGTCATAACCCATTAGCTTGAACAACCAGCGTTGTTGTGCAGTGGTAGTGATTTTCTGAGTCCACAAATGCTTCAAACTTTGGTGATCTGTTAAGACAACAAACTGTCTCCCCAAAAGATAAGGCCGCCACTTTTGAACAGCCAATACCAATGCAAGGATCTCTTTCTCATATGTCGAAAGAAGGAGATGTTTCCCTTGTAAAGCATGGCTAAAAAATGCGTCAGGTCTTTCCTGTCGAAGGACTGCACCAACTCCGCACCCAGATGCATCACATTCCACTATGAATTGCTTAGGAAAGTCTGGAGAGAAAGTACTGGTGCTCGAGTCATCACTGTTTTCAGCTGATAAAAAGCATCCGTCGCTCCTGGACTCCATATAAAGCTATTATTTTTCAACATACGAGTAAGAGGAGCTACGATTTTTCCAAAATTCTGGATGAACTTCCTGTAATAACCGCAAAAGGCCAAGGAAACCTCTCATAGCCTTTGGATTAGTAGGCTTGGGCCAACTCATTACAACTTCTATTTTTTCTGGATCAACAACCACACCTTGGTTAGAAATAACATGACCAAGGTACCTAACTTCTCTTTGGCCAAATTGACATTTTTCCATCTTTACAAACAACTGATGGTGTTTTAATATTGAAAAAACCAACTCTAGATGTTTCATATGTTCATCCCAATCTTTACTGTAAATAAGAGTATCATAAAAAAAAACCAAAATAAATTTTCGTAGATATTTCTTGAATACCTCATTCATGAGAGACTGAAAGGTAGATGGTGCGTTTGTTAGACCGAACGGCATCACCAAAAATTCATAATGCCCTTGGTGAGTCCGGAAAGCTATCTTCTCTATGTCCGACGGGTGAACTCGAATCTGGTGATATCCAGATCGAAGGTCCAACTTAGTGAAAAAAGATGCTCCGTGCAGCTCATCCAGAAGTTCGTCAATCACCGGTATTGGGAACTTGTCTTTGATTGTAACTTTGTTAAGTGCCCTATAATCGACACACATGCGCCATGAACCATCTTGCTTCTTGACCAAAATAACGGGTGATGAGTAAGGGCTTGTACTGGGTCTGATAACTTCGGACCGCAATATTTCGGCTACTATTTTTTTGATCTCCCCCTTCTGATAATGGGGATAGCGATACGTCCTGAGTGAGATAGGATGCTGCCCTTCAAGTAAAGGTATGCGATGGTCTTGGGTCCGTGAGGGAGGTAGACCACAAGGCTCCCGTAGCACGCTACGATACCTTTCCAATAGTTGCTGAATTTCTGGCATAACCACTGATGGTGGATCTGCTTGTTGCCTTCCTTGTAATTGAAGAAGAATTCCCTGGCCACGTTTCCAAGTAATTTTTTCCATTTGGTAATTGTCCACAATCTGATCATCTGACTTTTTTATGCCCCATAGAAGTGTCTCTTTATCATCTATTTGAAATCTCATCTCTAAGCGACAAAAATCCCAAACAATTGGTCCCAACATCCGTAACCATTGGGTTCCAAGTACGACATCGTAACCTTCCAAAGGTAAAAGATAAAAATCAGTTCTGAAAGAGTTGCCTTGGAGATTAAGACAAACCTGCTTGCACCGTCTCATACTCGTTAAACGTTCTCCAGAAGCCACCATTACATCAAACTTCTTCCCTGGAACTAGTTGCAATCCAATTTTAATTGCCAAAGCATCGTTCACGAAATTATGCGAGCTGCCCGAATCCAAAAGAACCATCACTGTTTTATCCTTCAAGCGCCCCATAATTTTCATGGTCTTAGAGTCACAAATACCATCTATGGCATGGATTGATACACGGGGAAGGTCTGGGGATGAAGAATCCTCAATCTCCATGTCAATTTTATCGTCTTCAGTATCAATTATAGCCTGAATGAAAAATAACTGTTTGCATTTGTGTCCTGGACCATATTTGTCATTAAAACGAAAGCACAAACCAAGCCTTCTTCTTTCATTAAGCTCCTCAAGACTTAACTTCTTAATGGGAGTTGGTGATGGTGAAGTTCCCGCTACTGATCGTGAAGGCTGTTGCAAGTTGGATTTGATAGGAATGGCAAGTTTACGTTGGGAACTCACCTTTGCCTCATAAAGGCGTGCTAGAGAAATGGCTGCAGATAGTGTTGCAGGTCGATTGGCTAACACTTCAGTGCGTATTAAATCTTTAAGCCCACTTATGAAACAACTTACTTGTCGTTCAGTGGGTAGAAGTCCCACCTTAGCTAGAAGTGTTTCAAATTGTACCTGATATTCCTTTACAGTACCTTGCTGTTGCAACTTGGTTAACTCCCCAAAAAAGTCAATATACTGATTTGCACCGTAGCGAGAGTGAAGGCCCACTTTGAAATCTTCCCAGGATACCACCATATATTCCTGTTTTAGAATTTGGAACCAAAGCTGCGCTTCGGCTTCAAGATGGAAGGATGCTATGGAAACTCGCTCTGAGTTGGCGTATTATGAAATTGAAAGAATTGCTCTGCGCGACATAGCCAACTGGTTGGATCTTCTTGTCCATTAAATCTGGAAAAATCAAGCTTCATCTTTGGAACGAAACTTGAGTGAGTGTTGTTGATAACTGGACTCTCATGAGTGGCCTTGTTCGCAGATGCAGATGCTTCGCCGTCGCGCCGGGTAAGCCTTACCATCTCATCAAATTTGGAATTCATCAGTGATAGAACTTTATTCAATTGATTAGCAAGGGCTTGCTGTCCACTGGACAAGCTTTGAACAGTCGTCTCCAATTGCTCCACTCGTTGGTCCATGCCTGTGCTCTGAAACCACTTGGCACGTAAAAAACAGAAGGCAAAAGTCTCGTTAATGGGGAAACTGGTCTGATAGAGGAGACCACGACCTCTTTCTCGTAAACTCAAGATTTGGAATAAAATCATTCAATACTTTATTTCTTCCAGTTACGTGATTTTATGCATGAAGAGTTCCCAAAAGATTAGCAACTGACACGAACTAGAACTATCGCAACTACCTCCTAAAATAAAGGAAATGGATATGCTCATTATCTACTTCTAAAATAAAGGAAACATAGAACACAATTTGAATGACTTCTAATAACTAGGAAATGGTTAACTAAAATCACTGCACGTAACACTTTTATATCGACCATGACTTTTATTATCGTATTGTCTAATTTACTTAATTACCATGGATGTTTATGACATATTTGTAGATGCGACCCTATGCTCGGACATTATATTGTTTATATCACTAATAGGTAAAATATAGAGAAAATGAAGGAAAACTAGAAACTTATTAGGACAGATGAATCCGGGTTTGTGCTTCTTTTCTTTCCGGCCTTCTTTGTATATTGGCTTCTTTTAATTTTTAAATAAGGAGAAAATGATCAAAGCATAAAAATTTAATTCTATGGGGAGGGTAAAAAGTTAAGTACTTATATACATATAAACATAAACTAGATACACTACATCAATTCTTCTTCAAATTCATTTCCCCTTTAAATACTTTTTTAAAGAAAACATATTATTAGCTCACCTATCCCAATAATACAACAATAAAAATTAGAGAAATGCATGCAACTAAGTGTTGATCTAATCCATTTGAATTTAAAGAGTAAAAAAAGTATTTCAAACTTTTGAAAATTTAGAAATAATAAGTTATTTTTTAAATTGAATAGGATCTTTTACTACCGCACGAAGCGGATAAATTTATTAGTGCGTATATAAAGTTGTAATTGAAAGTTTACTCTAAAAGGTGAGAATTAATTCTAGAACTGAAAGGTAATGTAAGGGATTTAAAGGAGAGGTAATTAAAGAAGAAGGAAAAAACGAGACATAAATGTTGAAAATCTGGCAATCCTAATTTACTGCACTTCTTTATTGCCTTCACAATTCTTTATTGGTATTTATTTTACAGGTTATAGGTACACATTAAATTCTATTGGAAACTCGTGAATATATTAAATGTTTTAGTAAAAAAATAAGGTAAAAAGCCAAAAACACCAGAAATTAGTTAAATATTATTGCGTGGTCGTGAAGAATTTAAATATACAAAGGCTTTTTAAAAAAAAAATAAAGTGGGTTAGATGAGAACAATTCATGAATATGCTTTTTAAATTTAGTTTAAATGAGAATAAATTTGATGAATATGCATACAATGATAATTCTGTAAGCAGGCATAGTTGTATATTGATTAACTTAAGAGGATAGAAGATATTAGCATATATTCTTTGACAATTTGATATTATATAGGAAACACTAAAAAGAAAGAAATGTTGGATCGAAATCTTCTAATTAAACCCTAACCTCTAATTTGGGCAAGAGAGAGGCGATACAGTCGAAGACGAAGAGAGAGAAAGTGACAAGCAATGTGTCGAATAATCTAGAAAATAGAAGACCAAACTCTATTATACATGGGTCTATCGGGTATAATACCCATATGGGCCAATACACAAAACATAAGTCAGCAACCCAATACAAACAAAGAACTGGACCTATTACTGAAGCCCAGATTCGGTCCATTTTATGTAGCATATTGGATACAGCTGAAAGGCACTCAAACCTTCCAGAACTTTCTTATCCAAATGCAAATTACAGCTAGAGTTATGGGTAAATACATATAATTATGGGCAAATATATAGAAATTAGGCACTTCTAATTAAATATAGTTGTAGTTGTCCTTTGTTGTCTTTCTAATACTTGTATAAATATACACACTGTACAGAATATTATCATCAATAAGAAAAGAATTTTTTTATATTCCTACATCGTATCAGAGCAGTAGCTATTGAAACCTTAGTCTACATTTTTTCCAGTTATCTTCTTTTCTTTCTCCATTCAAATGGCAACAAGTTCCACAAATGACTTCTCCAATGTTTCTGCAGCTCGCACAGTCACTCAACCAGCTGTTGTAGTTATCGATTCCTCTCACCCCTATTATCTTCATTCATCTGATTCACCAGGCATGGTTTTTGTCAACTCACTCTTTGATGGAAAGAGATATGGAGGAAGGCGTAGAGGCATAGTTATTACACTCTCTGCCAAGAACAAGCTTGGTTTTATCGATGAAACTTATTCTGAACCTGATGCTTCTTCCACTCACTTCAAGTAGTGGAATCGTTGCAATGATATGGTTATATCATGGCTCTTGAACTCTATGTCTAAGGACATAGCTAAAAGTGTCCTTTATTCTAAAACTGCCAATGAAATTTGGAAAGAGCTTGAGGTTAGATTTGGACAATGTAATGGTACTCAACTTTATCAGTTACAAAAGGAGTTGAGTGATCTAGTACAAGGGACCTCTGATGTGGCAGGATATTATACAAAGGTGAAAAGGATTTGGGATGAGTTAGATACCTTGAATACTTGTGAGCACTGCACCCGTGAGTGTGATTGTGGAGGAAAGTCCAGAACTTTGAAATCCTTTCAAGATGTTAGGCTTATCCAATTTCTCATGGGGCTTAGTGATACATACTCAGCTGTGAGAAGTAACATTTTGATGATTACTGTAACGACCCGGCCGGTCGTTTCGAGAGTTATAACCCTGTTTTCCCTATTCCTACTTCTTTTTGTGTTATTCAGCTATATTATATTATATCGGGTTAGTTGGTTCGAGTCCGGAAGAAACTCGGGGTGAAATGAGACACTTAGTCTCATAATTGAAAATTTTAAGTTAGAAAAGTGGACCGGATATGGACCAATATATAAACGACCTCAGATTTGAATTTTGATGATTACAATAACTCCGTATGGTAATTTTGGGCTTAGGAGCGTGTACGGAATATTATTTGAAAGTCCGTAGAGGAATTAGGCTTGAAATGCCAAAAGTTTTATTTTTGAGAAGTTTGACCGGGGGGTTGACTTTTTGATATCGGGGTCGGAATCTGATTTTAAAAATTGGAATACCCCTATTATGTTATTTAGGACTTGTGTGCAAAATTTGAGGTCAATCGGACGTGATTTGATAGGTTCCGGAGTTGTTTGTAGAAATTAGAAATTTTAAAGTTCATTAGGCTTGAATTGGGGTGTAATTCATGGTTTTAGCATTGTTTGAGGTGATTTGAGGATTCGACTAAGTTCGTATGATGTTTTAGGACTTGTTGGTATATTTGGTTGAGGTCCCGAGGGCCTCGGGTGAGTTTCGGATGGTTAACGGATCAAAAATTGAACTAGAACAGCTGCTGCAATTTCCTTCTGTTGGAAATTGCTTCTGCCCAGAATCGAGCCCAGATCGAGCTCAGGGTCGATGGCCACGATCGAAGCCCAGATCGAGCTCAAGGTCGAGGGCCACGATGGAGCCCAGGGTCGAGGGTCACGATCGAAGGCATGATCGAGCCCAGGGTCGAGGGTCACGCTCGAAGGCTGGGAAGAAGGCATAATCGAGGGCCAGGACCGAGAACCAGGATCGAGGACCTCGATCGAAGGCCAAGATCGAGGCAGAACCGAGGATGTCTGGGCAGAATTATAAAAAAATGGGGGCTTCGTCCCATTTGCCATTTTTGACAAATTGGAGCTTGGGGAGAGGCGATTTTTTGTTATATTTTCAAGGAAAACATGAAGTAAGTCCTTTGTGATCATTTCTACTCCATAATAGTGAATTATCATCGAGTAATCCGACTAGATTACATGATTTTGAGGTGTAAATCAGAGATTGAAACTTAGAAATTTGGAAATTTGATTTGTATATTTGAGGGTCGAGTTAAGGTCGGATTTTGGTAAAATTGGTATGGGTAGACTCGTGGTTGAATGGGTTTTCAGATTTTATAACTTTTATCGGGTTCCGAGACGTGGGCCCCACAGGCGATTTTTGAGCCAATTTCGGGTTTTGGTCTAATTTTGAAGCTTTTCTTGTGGAATTCATTCCATTAGCGTATATTGATGGTATTATACTGATTGTGAATAGATTTGGAGAATTTTGAGGCAGAGTCCAGAGGCAAGAACACTGCGGGGTAGAGATTTGACCAGTTTGAGCTAAGTAACGATTGTAAATCTAGTCCTGAGGGTATAAAACCCCGGATTTTGTATCATTCTACTATTTTTAATGACACACATGCTAGGTGACGAGCGTGTGGGCGTGCACTGTTGGGGATTTGTGACTTGGTCCGCCCCGTAGCAACTCTAAAGTTGCATACTCTGTTGAAACCATTGATACTTATATGATTTAGAAAGATTTTATGTAAATTGGGCTGAATGCCATGTTTGGGCCTTGCGCCAATGCTGTTTGGACCCTTAGGGGCTGTTTC